TGAAGAGTCACAAGCTCGCCTCAAAGCTGGCTTTCCTACGTTGCGCATTTACAGGGGGCTCGATTTTGGCGGGATGCGTGCAGGCCGTTTTCCCTTTCCTTACTATCACGCCTTCATCCTTGCCAGCTGAACTCTATCGTAAGCGCTGTGATCAATCATGTTTCCTCCTTGACTGCCGATCGGCCTTGAGGGTCGTGCCTGTGTCCAGTAACGTTTCTCGGCCTAGGAAGGTCTTCTATCGTGAAACACTGGAGGGGGCGAAGTATCCACAACGTTTGTGGCGTTCGTTTTCGTCTTGGGCTCAAGCAGCGGATTACCTCAGCAAGTCTATGTTTTCACTTATCTGGTGATTAGTTCGGATTAGGCTCTCAATGACAAGGCGTTAGATTTGCCAGACTGTGAGAGTTGTGACCTTGGCTTCGAGGAAACGGCTTCTATGCCTTCTACTATTGCCCTCAGGTCTGCCCAATATGAGACAATGTCGGTGAGTTGTCGTCTCGCCCCAGAAAAGCTCGTAGTCATTGATCTCACTCATTGTGTCGCCCCCATCGTCTGTGGTGAAACGGATGGTGTTTCTATCGCGGCTGGCCACGGCTCGAATGGTGATTTGGACGACGCAACTGCGATGCGACCGTTTTTCTCGTCGATTAGAGGGAAAGAGACACAGGGGAAAACAACGCATGACATACCTGGCAGCCTTGAGCAAGTGAATGACAGAAATTGGTCTAGGGAAGGAAGCAGAGGGAAGGAACATGTTGAGAGCTGCAAGGGATAGAGGTAGGTGGAGAGCTATGATGAGGTCTTAGAGAGGATGCAAAACAAGGAGGAGGCTTATACTTAACATCAGGAAGAGGCAGCTGATGTTTCTGGGACACATAATGAGGAAAGAGGGACTGGAGAATCTGATACTCACGGGTCGAATAGAGGGAAAGAGACAGGGGGAAACAACGCATAACACATCTGACCGGCTTGAGCAAATGGTTGACAGAATGTGGTCTGTGGAAGGAAGAATAGTGAAGTAACTTGAAAGTTGCAAGCAATAGAGGGAGGTGAAGAGCCATGAACGTCTACGCCCTGTAAATACATGGCGCATAAAAAGAAGAAATTACTAAATGCACCGTAAGTTCTATTTTAATAGTTTATTCTCTCGCCATTTGAGTTCCGTAGAACTTTTCTCCAGTTTCTTAATTTCCTTTCAACAATGAGCTTCAGCATTATAAATGTCAATCAATCTATTCTGTCTTTTTTATATCAGTTCTTTTAATGTCCTTTCTTCTATGCGATGTTTTTTTCGGCTGCCTGCAGTTTCTGCAACACCTTTGCTCTTAGTGCTTTTATCAATTTGTTTGGGATGAAAAAAAATTTTTTTCTTACTTATATTGATTCAATATTTCCATTAATTTTTCTTTCTTTCATTTAATAATGTGTTTTTTCGTCGATTTTTAGAATGAATGATATCATTCATTCGTTCTGTTAATGATCGATTTTTCGTCCTTTTCTTGATTGAATTATATATTTCGTTTTTATCATTGATTTTGTAAATCATTCTTTTTACCTTCGTTCATGCATTCAGAGAGATCTTATTCTATATTTCTTTGATTAATTATTCCTTTCTTTTGTTATTACTTTCATTGAATATAATTTCTCTCTTTTTTCTTCTTTCTTTAAAATGTTCTTTCATCCTTTTATTGACAGAATGATATAATTCGTTTTCCTTCTTTTTTGAATAATTACTTATTTTATACATTTATTGACTGAATGATATTCTTTTTATTATTTTCATTTAATGAAGCCTTTTCGACCATTTACTGATCGAGTGATATCGTTCATTTTACTTCCTGTTTAATGATTCTTTTTCGTCCTTTTACTGACTGTTATTAAAATCCTTCCTTTCTTGTAATGAGTTATTTTATTTATCCTACTTTTCTTCCTTTTCCTTTAATGTTTGCTTTTTTTCGTCCATTTATTGACTGAGTGATATCATTCATTTCCTTCCTTTCTTGTAATGAGTGTTTTCATTCGTCCTTTTATATCATTCTTTTTTCTTCAATTTTTGGAATGATTTCTTTTTTTCGTCCGTTCATAGACTGAGATGTAACATACTTTTTTGATCCTTTCTTTTAATAATTGCTTCTTCGTCCTTTCATTGATCTCGTGATATCATTCGTTTTTCTTCCTTTCTGATATATCCCGGAAAGGGATATTTTTGAAAGAAGTAGCTAAGTGGTTTTGGCTACCAAGTAGAATATGGTAGCAGTAATCAAATGGTAAACGTCGTAGTCGCAGGTAAGAAGTGTAGATCTATGGCGTATTCCAATGGGCGTCGTTATAGACTTAGCACTCAGACTAAGGCTCTTCTGACTCTCGTACCTACACGTACGTCGGCATTTATGACTGACACCAGCCAATCATATTCCAGTGAGGGGGAACACAGGCGTATGCATATTCCATTATATCACTTTTAATGATTGATCTTGTTCGTCCTTATATTGATTGAGTGAAATCATTCCTTTTTTATTCCTTTCATTTAATGATTGCTTTTTTCGTCCCCTTGAGTAGTATCATTCATTTTTCTTCCTTTTTTTTTAACAATTGCTTTTTTCTTCCATTTATTGGCTGTATGATATCATTCCTTTTACTTCCTTTCATTTAATGATTGCTTTTATCGTCCCCTTATTGACTGATATTAATTTCCTTCCTTTCTTGTAATAACTGATTTTATTCTTTTTCTTATTTCCTGAGTGATATCGTTCTTTCTTCGTTTTTTTAATGATTGCTTCTTTCTTCATTTTTTTGACTCAGTGTTATCAATTTTTTTTCTATTTTGCTTTTAATGGTTACTTTTTCGTCCTTTTATTGATTGATATTCTTTCTTCCTTTCATTTAATAATTACTTTGTTGTTCTTCCTTTTATAATGATTGCTCTTTTATTGACTAAGTTATATCATTCTTTTTCTAAGTTTCTCATAATGAGTGATTTTATTGAGTGAGTGATAGTCATTTTATATCCTTTCTTGTAACGATTTATTGACTTAGATATTGTTTTTTTTCTTCTTTTCTGTTAATGATAGCTTTTTTCATCATTTTATTGAATGAGTGATATACTTTTGATTTCCTTTCTTTTAATGAGTGCTTTTATTTGTCCTTTTATTGCCCGGGATATATTATTTTTCTTCCTTTTTTGTAATGTTTGCTTCATCGTCATTTCATTGACTGTGTAATATAATTCATTTTTCATCGTTTCTTTTACTGAATGCATTTTTCGTGCTTTTATTTACTGATATCATTTTTTATTTTATTTTCTAATAATGAGTGATTTTATTCGTCCTTTTATTGACTGAATGATATCGTTTTTTTTCTTCTATTCTTTTAATGATGGCATTTCTCGTTCTTTTATCGATTGATTGGCATCACTCTTTTATTTTATTTTATTTTTGCTTTTTTCCTTTTATTTTCTGAATGATATCATTCTTTTTTCTTCCCATGTTAATGGTTGTATCCTTCGTCATTTTATTGCCTGAATGATTGCATTCTCTCTTTCCTTTTTTGTAATGCTTCCTTATCTTCTCCTTTTTTCAACTGAGTGATATCATTCTTTTTTTCGTCCTTGCTTGTCGTCATTTTTTCTTCCTGTTATTCACTTTTTGTTTCTTTCTTTTTATGATTGACTTAGCGAAACCTTTCGTAATGTTTTTAATTCATTTACTATGTTTTTCCTTTATTTGTCTTTGATTTATTCTTTAATTTCTGCCGTTAGTCGTTTCATTATATGGAATTTTTCATTTTCAATTTATTGATTGATTGACTGATTTCGTTTATTGATTGAACTACTGATTTGTTTTCTTGATTCCTGCTATTCCATAGCTTATTGATTTATTGAATGATTCCTTCTTGTATTGATTAATTGCACATTTTCTTTCTTTTTATTAGTTTGATTCCTTTCGAGTTTGATTGATTGATTTCTTCCTTTCTTTTATTAATTGATTGATTTCTTTTTGAATGTTTGATTACTTTATATTTTTTATTGATTGATTAATTAATGTTTTCTATTCATAATTTCTTTCTTATATTAACTTATTGATTAATTTTGATTGATTTATTAATTTCTTTAAAGAGTTTCTTCCTTTTATTCATTGGCTGTTTTCTTTTCCCCTATTGGTTGTACACTAATATCCTTACATTTTTCCTATATCTTCATTTTTGGGAATTGATTTCTCTTAATTTTTAACCTTTGACATCCCATTTTGTTTTAAGTCTCTTTCTTCATTTCGTTTTAAAACATTCCATTTTTAGGTTCTTTTTATTTTTTATACGTTTCTTTCTTTTTTCTTTACTATTGATTCCACCTTTAATTTGTCTCCTTAACCATTTCAATTTCTTTCTTTCTTTCTTTCTTACTCCCTTTCTTTTTTTCCTTCTTTCTTTCTTCTTTTCTTTCACTTTTTATTTATTTCTCCTTATCAATTTCAATTACTTTCTTCCTTATTTCATTTAATTTCTTTCTTTCTTTCTTTCTTTCTTTCTTTCTTTCTTTCTTTCTTTCTTTACGAATCATTTCGCCTTTTATTTTATCCCCTTATCCATTTCAATTGTTTCTTTCTTTCTTTCTTTCTTTTTTTCTTTCTTGTTTTCTTTACTATTGATTTCACTTTTTATTTATTTCATCTCATCCATTTCAATGTCCTTCTTCTTTTCTTCCTTCGTTTTTCTTTCTTTCTTTCTTTCTTTCTTTCTTTCTTTCTTTCTTTCTTTCCTATTGATTTTGCCTTTTATTTTATCCCCTTATCCATTTCAACTTCTTCCTTCCTTTCTTCGTCCTTCTCTTTCCTTCCTTCTTCTTTTTTCTTTACTATTAATTTAACTTTTATTTCTCTTTATCTATTTCAATTCTTTCTTTCTTTCTTTTTTTCTTTCTTTCTTTCTTTCCTTTTTTCTTTCTTGTTTGTTTACTATTGATTTCATTTTCTATTTATTTATTCTTATCCATTTCAACTTCTTAGTTTCTTTCTTTCTTTCTTTCTTTCTTTCTTTCTTTCTCCATATCCATTGCAATATCTTCTTTCTTCTTCTTTCTTTTTATATAGACTACCCACAATGTTTTAGAGTATTTTTCTTTGTCTCTTTTTTTTTCATTCTCCCATTGTGTCTTTCCTTTTTCCTCTTTTTCCTCTCATTACTTTTTTTTTAATTTCTCTACTTTCTGTCTATGAATCTTTCCCGTAACATACTCAGTTTTCGTCTAGCGTTAATTTAGAAAGAAATATCCAACCCCCCAAAAAAAAAACTCAACAGAAGCTGTGAAGAAAGGTAAAAAAAAAATATTTGAAAAGTTCTTCAGGACAATTAGATGTTTCTTTTTCATTTTCTGAAATTTTTTGAAAAGTTAACTGAAGCTGACATTTGACCGACTTAGCTAATTGCATTTTCCTAGCAGAGTTAAGCTTGTCGACATCTTACGTAGACTAAGGACATTTAATTCGGAAATATCGAATCACATTGGAGAAACGAACAGTGTCTTTGCACTGCTGATATCTGTAGACGTTTCGTAACTCAAATTATAAAATTCTGACTTTTGCTTCTTTTAATCTTTATAACATAGCATTAGTCACACCTTGTCAGTATTAGTTCTTCGAAATTCAGTTCTTTTCTCCCCCGAATCCATCTTACATATTTATATGTTTCCAATTCGTCCATGTTTCAAATATGGCTGACATATATGGGCTGGTGATGGTGATATATATATTGAGAGATCACTGATAAAATCCAAAAAAAGAATCTGCAAAGTTATTGATCCTGACCTTATATCTTGACTTCAGTCATTTTCCCTCTGCCTTTTCTAGAAATACTTTCATGGCAATTGTTCTAATGAAATTTCCTCTATGCTACTAAGACTTGATGAGTATAAGCGCAGTACTAGATTGGCGGTAAGGTCTCATCATTGCAGATGAAATTTTTAGCTGTAACCGGCTTCTTGATTTCCAGTCAAGTTTGATCTTTAAAAATTTAGATTCAATGTCAATCATTATCGCCTGTCTTAATTTCTGTACATTTATTGTCCTCTATCCTTTATAAGGTTTTTCTTTTCGCATATTCTTCCGTTTTAGAGGCGTTATTACCTTACTTGGATTGAAATGATTTAAAAGGAAGCAAATATTGATTTTCTGGTAATTTTGATAGCTTACTTTAGACTCTGTTGATTGTCAAATCAAGCTAAAAAAACGCCGGTTTTACTTCTATTACAGAAGTTCAGTAAACCTCTGAGTTTTATTGAGTGTGTTGCTTAGGATAAAACGATTAAAAAAAAAGATTGAGGTCATATTCACCCCAGGGAAATTCTCAAAAAGAAGTATTATCATCCTTCTCTATACTTTTCTTTACAATGATATTCACTCTGTAAACTTAATTGTACCCAAAGATTATTAAGACGTACCCCAGTTGATAGGGTAGAAGTTTTCCCCAAAATAAAGAAATACACCTTTATGTATATTAATTCAAACAACCGCTTAATTTCCTTTCTTTTGTCATACAGTCAGTTTTAGAGCCAGGGTGTAATCGATTTCTATTTTTTCCTCGGATTAGGTCATTTGCAGTGATGTGCAGTAATATGAATCTATTTTCGGGGTGTATGATGTAATTTGTTTGGCCTTGAAAAATATTGCGTCATCCCTGATAGAATCACATTTTTATCACGCGCAGACACTATTGTCTCAACTGTCAATTAGTTGTCCTACGGCCATTGTACACGATGGACTTTGCTCCAAGGAAGCTTACAAAAACTGTAACGCTGCACGAACATACTGGAAAGCCTAAGCAGTGAGCAAATCAATGTACAAGAGACTAGCTCCGAAACTCTCTTGATTTAAATCTAATCGAAACTTTGTAGTCAAGAAACGGCTTCGTGGAATGGATATACTAAGTACTAACATATGCACTGGGTTATGTTTCATTGGTAAATTAAGAAAAAAAGTAAATAATAACGGAATCATTCATTTTGTTTGAATTAATTTGCACAAGGGTGTACTTATTTTTTATCATCCATCGTGAAAAAAAGCAAACGTCATCAACAAAAGCAACAGTAAACAAAACAGTCAGTCCATAGGCTCACTATGTGCCATACTGGCTCAAAATACTCTTCACTCATTACAATGCTGCACTATTAACAAATCAACGCTTTTACCCACAAGGTCATTGTTTGGTTTGTGTATTTGGTGACATAATGGCTGCGAGTTCAATGACGGGGTCAGGCGGTATGTACTTGCAGTCAGCGGAAACGGGCGAGCAGTAACTGAACAGTGCTAAATGGAAGAATAATAAGATAATATCCCTAGACATGATCAGTGGAACGAGAACATTTTACCCCCGTTGATAAGATAAAGCATTCAGTCCGGAAGTCCTTGTAGGATATCCATATCGATATACACCTGAGGAAGTGCGAAGGACACAACGGCCGACACGTTGTGAGAAAAACAACAGAGATGAAGATAGTTCGAATATAAATAGTGTAATGATTCTCATCCCAGAAATTCAAAGATCTGAGATAGATTTAGCACGGCTATCGATTTAGAATCGATTAAGTATCTTGGCAAACATAACGGCATAAATGTAGTGTTTATAAAATGAAGTAACAATTTTTGCCACGAGCCTTTTATATAATCTGAAGAAGTCAAAATTTCCAAGTCGTTGAAGTGTCGTAATCGGAAGTATGAAGATGAAGAATTTAGTTTGCTATGTAAAGATGAAACAGCAAATCTATGATAGGTTTAAGAGAATGTCGTTATAAGCACACTTATTTTCTGTGAATCTGGGTCTATGCATGGATAGCAAAACCTCGTGGCCAAAACAAAGTATGTAACCCTGAGCGGCTACTGAGTGATGCTCCAATCTGTACAGAGAGGGACTTTAAAGTAGAAACTGTAAAAAGAAAACCACGTGGAAATAGCAAAACCTCGAGAATGTACTTGTGGGCAAAAACAGACTTTTATAATATTCGATAGCCTTGCTTTTTCAGGATCTGGGAGAAGGCATGTAATATATTTTAACGCTTTCCTAGCGCGGTTTCTTTGTAAAAGATAAAATCTTTCATGTATGTTATTGCAGTTTTTCTCTAGCCGTTCTTTATGCTTGCTTTTAATGTTGGGGTATGTTGGTGGATCTGCAGGAGATACTATTGACTTCACCGATCTGCTAAAAGTCAAGATTTTTCATTTAAACAAACAATAAGATCAAGTAAATTAAGGTTATATAAAAGCAAACTATCGACTCAAATAATCCTTGTGATAAAACAACGAAACTGAGAGTGCAAAACTGAAAGAATCATTATAAATTAATGGCAACGCCTCATCCAAAAGATGTTTTGTGGTAGAAACAACAAAAATGAGGATACGATACTGAAAGAATTATTGCGTAATGAAAACGGCTTCTTTGTAATGACATCATGACATTTTCTATTGGGCAATTAAAAAAAACGAAAAACAACACACATTTTCCATAGATAAAGCCCTTCGTAAAGTGTGGGCTGTACTCGTGAGAACATTTTTTTTTCTATTTCTTTAAGTCATGAAATACTAGGAATCCTTTCAATGAGTCAATTGGAATCTTTTCCAATCAACTCGAGGGCTCCAACTACAACTAGAATTGTTGATGGCCTGATCTGCCACATTTTTTTTCTGATTTCGATTTCAGGGTCCTTGTATTTTGATAGCTTTTTGAAGATCTTCTAAGATACTTTGCAGTCCGCAGGGACTGCCATATCAATAAGTTGGCATTTTTTGTTTGCGGTCTCTAATAACAATGTCTGGGCAATTAGCTTTGATTTTTCTGTTTTTGTGTATTGTGTAGTCCTATAAATTTGTTACAGGTCCTATCTACGAAACCGGGTCTGGGTGATGTTCATTTTAGTTTTCATTCCGCTTACAAAGAAGCCTTGTAATAAAAACGGCCATTATACGAATGCAAATATGAAAGAATTATTGTGTAATATTAACATCACGTCGTCTCCAAAATACGCATAAAATGATCTGATTTAAAAATGGAATTAAAATTAGCTCAATAAAAACGAGCTAACATTTTTTTTACAGATAATTGAATTACTGGTTCTACGTTTTAAAAATTCTATATTTGAATTTAATTGTCTCTGTGTTGAAGGCTGTCCAACTTCGGATTTTGAGTGAAGTAGATTCTACTGAGATGGTCTGGCACACTTTGGTATACTGAGTCGAGGAATGGTTATATCTGCTTTTGCGAACTTGACGAATCTAAATTTGGTAATACTGAAGTGCTAATAAAACCTTTAAAAAGTCTTTTAATTATTTAGCACCGAGTTCTACCTTTTAACTTTTCGTTGTCTCGATTTTGAAAAAAAAAAAAAAAAAATTTTATCGGCTGCCTCGTGATACCAACAAAAGTAAGAATAAAAATAGATCTAAAAAAATTAAATAACATTAGAGAAGATTCTTAAAAATAATTAAAGTCCAGACTGACGTGGTTTTATTTATAGATTAATTGGGATTCAGTGGATATTGGGATTAGTGTCAGACTGATTACGTCATCAGTATGGCGGCTGAAAATATTGTTGTAAATGTTGGGAACACAACAGCAGCCATGATGAGTTTTAAACATTTTTTTTCTTTTTAAAACGTGAGGAACATATTTTGAATAATTTTTCGTTAAACTATTTTCTCTCTAAAAGCTTTTATTTTTTTAATTTCACACTAATTTTTTGTGTTTATCCATTTTCAAGTTCAAAATCTATGAGAAACAAAAGATACCAGGAAAATATATACACTGAAACGTTGAATTAACAATATGGTGCGTAAATGAATGAAAAAGAGATGATGTCTTCCAGCAACAAAATAATGAATATAAAGTTCAAATTTCTGGACTCATTTTAGAATGATAATAAATAAAAAAACGTAATATTCTTCTTTTTACTACAATATCCTGGGTCAATACATTTATTATCATGATACGTTTTTTTTTGTTTTTAATTTCATTCCATCTTAATATTGTTGATTTGTTATAAGAAATTTTCTTGGCCGACTCATTCTTCATTATTACGAGTTTTATTCCATGTTTCTTTTATACTCCTAGTCAATAAACTCTTCATTATTACTACTGTTTTATTAATAATTTTACTCCATCTTATTATTGTTGTTTCTTTTATCCCAATCCTCTGACTCTATACAATCT